TCCATATTGGTTAGAAGACCCCTATTGATTTTGGGGTCAAAGGTCAAGGTCACTATTACCTTAAAATTGAAAACAGTTTCCATAGTATATCTAAAGTTCCATTTGGCCCACAATATTCAAACTTCTCAGGATGATTGTCCTATTGATTTTGGGGTCACAAGGTCAAAGGTTAAGGTCATTATTAATAACTTAAGTATTTATCAACCTACATCTGTAATAGGATGAACAGCTAATTTCCATGTCTTACAAATGCTTCATCCTTACTAAAAAAAACACTTTCGGGCATATAATGCTCCGCCTAGCGGTGCTCTTGTTTTTCTTGTACCTATTTCGTTACAATTAAGTACATTGGATGCGAAAAACGAATGTACAGAATTTGGGTTTTTAGGCATATTAAATCAATATCATATTCACTCAGGTTATGAAAAACTAATTAATATAATAAAAATATATTATATATATTAGTTTAAAATAAATAAATACCTGAATCACAATGAATGTGTTGCCATTGTAAGCACCATTCACATTCTACTACTAAAAGTCGGCACTGAATGTATATACACGTATTCCATTACAATTTTGTATGTGATCAAAGGGTTGTTTCTTTTTTATGATAATCTTAATTTAAAGCTTTTGACAATTACAAACAAATTAAATGAAATTGGTAAAAGACATTAAAGGACTCATATTGTCACGGGCTATTATTATCTTATAAGTCTTTAACCGCCAATGTTTGGAACTTAATGGAAGCCCTGCTGGTAGAATATGCTATGTGGTATAATGTGAATATAATATGATTTATTGTAGATACTACTAAAAGGATAATAATAATAAATGCCTTTCAATATTTATCTATGGTGACATCTTCAATAGCAGTACTAGATCTATTTATTAGTGGCTGGTAGAAACCAGCGACTATATTTGTAACAGTTTAAATAATATTATATCTATGGTAGGAGAAGGCCTTAATATCGTGAATATAAAAGCAAATAAATTATTAAACAATTACGAACCACAATTATTTTTCATAATCTTAAAAATTCAAACATAAAACAACGTTTCTCAATGAAATGAAATATACAAATATTGACATCTTCAAAAGCAAGATTACAATTTTCATAAAATGAATTAATAATGTTTCCTTTTGGACCAGTCATTGAATTTAGGGATACTTTTACCTTTTTAGCTCACCTGTCACAAAGTGACAGGGTGAGCTTTTGTGATCGCTTTTCGTCCGGCGTCCGGGCGTCCGTCCGTCCGTCGTCCGTCCGTCGTCCGTCCGTAAACTTTTGCTTTAAATGACATCTCCTCATAAACCACTGAGCCAATTTCATCCAAACTTCACAGGAATGTTCCTTTGGTGGTCACCTTTAAAAATTGTTCAAAGACTTTAATTCCATGCAGAACACTGGTTGCCATGGCAACCGAAAGAAAAAACTTTAAATATCTTCTTTTAAAGAACCCAAAGAGCTAGAGCTTAGATATTTGGCATGAAACATCTTCTAGTGAGTGTCTACCAAGTTTGTTCAAATAAAGGCCCTGGGGTCAAAATTGGCCCCGCCCCAGGGGGTCATTGATTTTCCCTATATGCATATAGTAAAAACTTAAAAAAATCTTCTTTTAAAGAACCCAAAGAGCTAGAGCTAAGATATTTAGTATGAAACATCTTCTAATGAGTGTCTACAAAGTTTGTTCAAATAAAATCCCTGGGGTCAAAATTGGCCCCGCCCCAGGGGGTCATTGATTTTCCCTATATGCATATAGTAAAAACTTAAAAAATCTTCTTTTAAAGAACTCAAAGAGCTAGAGCTAAGATATTTAGCATGAAACATGTTCTAATGAGTGTCTACCAAGTTTGTTCAAATAAAAGCCCTGGGTTCAAAATTGGCCCCAACCTGGGGGTTCATTGATTTTCCTTATATGTGTATAGCAATTACTTAAAAATCTTCTTTGGAAAAAAACAAATAGCTAGATTTTAGATATTAAGCATGAAACATCTTCTAGTAAGTATCTACAAAGTTTGTTCAAATAAAACCCCTGGGGTCAAAACTGGCCCCGCCCCAGGGGTGTCATTGTTTTTAACTATATGTGTATAGTAAAAAAACATCTTCTTATGGGTGTCTACCAAGTTTGTTTAAATAAAAGCCCTTGGGTTAAAATTGGCCCTGCCCGGGGGTTTAATCTGGCCCCGCTCCTGGGGCCTATATACAGGTGAGCGACCTCAGGGCCATCATGGCCCTCTTGTTAGAAGTTGCGTAGTGTTTCTATTTTAAGAAATTGATGTTTCTATTTTTAGAAATTGCGTAATGTTTCTATTTATAGAAATTTTGTAATGTTTCTATTTTTAGTAATTGCGTAATGTTTCTATTTCTAGAAATTGTGTAATTTTTCAATTTTTAGAAATTGCGTAATGTTTCTATTTTTAGAAATTGCGAAATTGAGTAATGTTTCTATTTTTAGAAATTGCGTAATGTTTCTACTTTTAGAAATTGCGCGATGTTTCTATTTTTAGAAATTGCGTGATGTTTCTATTTTTAGTAATTGCGTTATGTGTCTATTTTTAGAAATTGCGTAATGTTTCTATTTCTAGAAATTGATCTTTCTATTTTTAGAAATTGCATAATGTTTCTATTTATAGAAATTTTGTAATGTTTCTATTGTTAGTAATTGCGTAATGTTTCTTTTTTTAGAAATTGCGTAATGTTTCAATTTTTAGAAATTGCGTTATGTTTCTATTTTTCGAAATTGTGTAATGTTTCTATTTTTAGAAATTGCGTAATGTTTAAATTTTTAGAAATTGCGTAATGTTTCTATTTTTAGAAATTGCGTAATGTGTCTATTTTTAGAATTTGCGTAATGTTACTATTTTAAGAAATTGCGTAATGTTTTTATTTTTAGAAATTGCGTAATGTTTCAATTTTTAGTAATTGCGTAATGTTTCTATTTTTAAAAATTGCGTAATGTTTCAATTTTAGAAATTGCGGAATGTTGCTATTTTAAGAAATTGCGTAATGTTTTTATTTTTAGAAATTGTGTAATGTTTCTATTTTTAGTATTTGCGAAATGTTTCTATTTTTAGTAATTGCGTAATGTTTCTATTTTTAGAAATTTCTGTTTTTATTTTTAGAATTTGCATGATGTTTCTAATTTTAGTAATTGCATAATGTTTCTATTTTTAGAAATTGCGTTATGTTTCTATTTTTAGAAATTGCGTACTGTTTCTATTTTTAGAAATTGATGTTTCTATTTTTAGTAGGGATGGCAACGAATACCAAAATCAATACTCGAGTACTCGGTCATTTTTCCGATCGAGTACTCGGTTACTCGGATGATTTCCAATGATCTTGAAAGTTTTATCACACAATATCAACACCGTCTGCATGCTACTTTCGTTTTCTATTTTAATTCATAGAATTCGTAACTATAAATAGGACTGCAAGAAATACATATATAAATATAAACATAAGAAATGTCAATGACAGCATTTATTATATACCTACAAATTTTCTCCCTAAAATACAGGATGAACTTGAAGCGCAAATACGCTTCAACGGATAGAAAATTCCGTATTATGTTAGTGACAAATACGGTACCATATATGGAAGTGCCGGACTATTTTTGACGTTGGTTCCGATCTTAGCTGTGTATAAACGTAGCATTTGGAAACGGAAACCAAAATTATAAAAGGCGTGGCCGGTTTTGCAAAAATTACGTATTCATCCGTCGGTCATAAATTTATTTCTTGACATTTCATTTTCTGAAATTTCTTATAGAAGTGTAGTATAATGAAAATCATTTATAATTCAAACGAAAAGGTATATAATAAAAGGAAAATTATGTTGAAGTAGCTTTCTGAGCCTATGCATTTTTCTAGTCGCAATGTTGGAAAATTGATATTTCCGACCTTCGGTCTCGCGAGATTTCAATTTTCCACTGCTTCTCGTAGCAAAATACAAAGCCACAACATAAAATTCAGTATATATTTATGTTTTTACAATTAAATAGTTTCGGCTATTTAAAGGTGGTTAAATATATCATAAAAGGCCGAATGACGTAAACGACACAGGACTGTGTTCATTCCCATACGCGTGTCAAACTGCTGATCGCCTCGTTAAATTTACGATATCATTTTCACACCTATGCAAGGATGTTTTGATTGCATTTAACAAGTATTTATACAGATACGTGTACATTTCCGAATTTCTGAACTAATCTTTCTAAATCGCAAAAGAGTAGAAATTAAATATTTTTTTCCGAGTAATCGATTATCAGTTTTGTTAACCGATATTCGGACGTTCGATCGAGTACTCGGTTAACCGGTTACTCGTTGCCATCCCTAATTTTTAGAAATTGCGTAATGTTTCTATTTTTAGAAATTGCGTAATGTTTCTATTTTTAGAAATTGCGTAATGTTTCTATTTTTAGAAATTGCGTGTTTCTATTCATATATATATACAAAATAGATAAACAAAACTAATGTGACAAGACAGACCAACTAAATTTATAAAAAGGAAACGTTAAGATATGTTCAAACCTTTCTATGTTTGCATTTAGAAAAAGTAAAAAGTCGAGTGTTGCCCCCGCCCGGCGGTGGATCTTGTTTGGCAGAGTTCTGTCCCTTTCACTTTGAAAATAATATAGATACACCTTAGGAATAAGCAGTTTAAGTTTGAATTTGGTCGTGGTTCAATGATTTTAGACAAACTTATCTTTCCTAAATGTTGGTAAAATTTTGATCTTTCAGTTTCAGCACTCATACTTTTAGCCATTATTTTGACAACAAATATGCAATATGCTATTTTTAAAAGGTTAAGACTGAATAATTTCAGTGCCTTGAACATTGTATGAAAATGGTTTGTGTTAACATTGAAAAGTTTTAAGGGCTTTGAACTTAAAATGAAAAAAATAATTAATGCACCATCAGAAATTTTGGCTGCATGCTGGGGCATCCGTGGCATGATGACACATTTCTAGTTATGCCTATGATTTCTATCACACAGATTAGACCAATCTAGAAATAAAGAAAATGGCAAGTGGTGGTCAGACCATGTTTGCACAGATGCACAGTAGAGAGGAGCGTTTATTACTATTCCGATTGCAAATTCTCATATGTGATGGAGGCCTGCAGGTTTTGAGAAATATTCTAGACCAGACCCTGACTGCTCAAGGCTTAACTCTAAGAGCATGTTTGGATAGTGAAAAGTCAACAATTACACGTTTGAAAAGTCGGGGTGTAATTACACAGACACAATATGACATATTGTTTCCAGCTTCTGGTCAGTCACCAACTACAACGGATATGGACATCACACTTGTCATTTGTCTTCTTAGAAGCCTAAAGTGTTTTGGATTGAATAAAAAGTTTGACTGGAATGCATCACCAACACCAACTGATCTAACAGTTGAAGCAGATATATGCCGTTTAAGGACTTTCAGAAATAAAGTAAGTATGTGATGAAAAACTAACTATATAAAAGTTTTCTTATGCCATGAAAAAAAAATTGTGTGGTCCAGGTTACCCGACCAAATCTCATTTTGAGTGCTGACCCTACAATTCTGTTCGATTGAAATTGAAAGCTCGACTGTTTAAATAAAAATAAAAATAAGGTATGTTGGCATTGCCATTGCCATCCACAAACTTGTACCTTGATCATAATTTTTAGCTCGACTATTCGTAGAATAATCGAGCTAATGCAGTCACCCATTTGTCGGCGTCGGCGTCCCTGTGGTTAAGTTTTTGTATGTAAGCTGGTATCTCCATAACTACTGAAGGGAATGGATTGAAACTTCACACACTTGTTCTCTGTGATTATCTAAGATGATTGGCACAAGTCCCATAACTCTGATTTGCTTTTTTACATAATTATGCCCATTTTTCGACTTGGAAATTCTTGGTTAAGTTTTTGTATGTAAGCTGGTATCTCCATAACTACTGAAGGGAATGGATTGAAACTTCACACACTTGTTCTCTGTGATTATCTAAGATGATTGGCACAAGTCCCATAACTCTTATTTGTTTTTTTACATAGTTATGCCCCTTTTTCGACTTAGAAATTCTTGGTTAAGTTTTTGTATGTAAGCTGAAATCTCCATAACTACTGAAGGGAATGGATTGAAACTTCACACACTTGGTCTCTGTGATTATCTAAGATGATTGGCACAAGTCCCATAACTCTGATTTGCTTTTTTACATAATTATGCCCCTTGTTCGTCTTAGAAATTCTTGGTTAAGTTTTTGTATGTAAGCTGGTATCTCCATAACTACTGAAGGGAATGGATTGAAACTTCACACACTTGTTCTCTGTGATTATCTTAGATGATTGGCACAAGTCCCATAACTCTGATTTGCTTTTTTACATAATTATGCCCCTTTTTCGACTTAGAAATTCTTGGTTAAGTTTTTGCGTGTAAGCTGGTATCTCCATAACTACTGAAGGGAATGGATTGAAACTTCACACACGGTCTCTGCGATTATCTTAGATGATTGGCACAAGTCCCATAACTCTGATTTGCTTTTTTACATAAAAATGCCCCTTTTTTGACTTAGAAATTCTTGGTTAAGTTTTTGTATGTAAGCTGGTATCTCCATAACTACTGAAGGGAATGGATTGAAACTTCACACACTTGGTCTCTGTGATTATTTAAGATGATTGGCACAAGTCCCATAACTCTGATTTACTTTTTCGCATAATTATTCCCCTTTTTGGATTCATTAATTCATGGTTAAGTTTTTGTGTGTAAGCTGGTATCTCCATAACTACTGAAGGGAATGGATTGAAACTTCACACACTTGTTCTCTGTGATTGTATTGAAACTTGAAGGGTTTGTACCTTTTCGTACAATTTCATGTATTCATATAGGTAAGCATTATTATACTCAATGAAACACCCTTGTGACAAATTTTCGAATAGTCGAGCGTTACTGTCCTCCGACAGTTCTTGTTAAAGTTTTGTCTTCTAACTTGGCACAATAACCCTTGAGACAAGACCTTCAAGTAGACCAAACTAAACTTGACCTTCATTCATAAATAACTTTGACCATCAAGGTTAAATGCCTAAATTTTATTAATTATTTGCTAATTTTTAGCTCACCTGAGCTGGCTCAGGGTGAGCTTTTAGGATTGTTGAATGTCCGTCTTCTGTCATCCTCATACCTCACTTGCCCGCATTTAGTTTGGGAACACTATAGTGGTCACATTTTTGCCTCATTTGTCATCAAACTTGGTCAGGATGTTTGTCTTAGTAATTGCTCCTGGTCATCTCGGAACAGGAACAAAAAATGAAAAAAAAAACTAGTTAACACTCTTGTGACTACTGTTCTGATCCAAATATCATGGAACTTGATCAGAAAGGTTGTTTTGATGATTTATAGGTCAAGTTCCAATATGGGTCACATTGGGTCAAAAACTACGTCACACAGCTCAAATATGGAAAAACTTTGTTTGCAGTTTAGTGACTACTGTTTCAATCCAAAGATCCTGTAAATTTATCGGAAAGGTTGTTATGAAGATCTCTAGGTATTTACGGCCAAATCTGTTGATTAGTCATGGCTATTTTTTAACCCCCTTCCGCATAGCGGAAAGGGGATTATAGGAATGGCCTCCGTCTGTCCAACCATACAAACCCAGAGGTACTTATGTGATTTGGAGAACAATGGGTAACAGTAAATTCTCTTTAATCCTATTCATTCCGATTTTACTTGTGTGTCTTTTTAAAGCCTTGTGTGACTAAAAATGGCTAAAAAGATCAAAGGAAAAGTCACATAAGTACCATTTCATAAGTATGTCCGTCCGTCTGTCCATCCGTAACACTTTTGTGTCCACTCCATAACTTTCAAACGGCTTAAATTTTTTTAAGATAACTTGGCACAGGTAATCACCATGAGGATGTGCATAGCGCAATAATTGGATTGCTACCCCCAAGGTCAAGGTCACACTTAAAGGTCAAATGTTAAAATATCTTCATTTCATAATGAAAGTCTACATTTCATGTCCGCTCGAAACTTGTATTATTAACTGCTGAATTTTTTTTTAAATAACATGGCACAAGTGATCACCATAGAGAGAATTGGCTTGCTATCCAAAAGGTCAAGGTCACACTTTAAGGAATAATGTTAAGAAGTCTACAATAATTTTCATGTCCTCTTTTTAACAGCTGAGGTTTTTTAGCTCACCTTGCACAAAGTGCAGGTGAGCTTTTAGGATGGCCAACCAAATGCGTCCGTCGTTTATTCAAACGACATCTTCTACCACTTGGCCAATATTAATGAAACTTGGCAGGAATACTCTTTGTATGAAGCTCTATCAAGATTGTTCAAAGAATGCCATTCCATGCTAAACTCTGGTTGCTATGGCAACTAAAAGAAAAAACTTAAAAGTACTTATACTTCAAAATGGAAAGGGCTAGAGCTTAGATATTTCTCACAAGGCATTAGCTTGTTAGTTCCTACAAAGTATATTCAAATTATGGTCTAAACTTGAAAATTGGTCTCTGTTTTGGGAGTTAAAGGTTTTTTTTATTGCAAGGTTCTATATACTATCTTTGTAGGGATAATTTGAGATAGTGCATCTTGTATTTTTTGTCTCAACAGACATTGTTATGAAGATTCTATATACTATCTTTGTAGGGATAATTTGAGATAGTGCATCTTGTATTTTTTGTCTCAACAGACATTGTTATGAAGATTTTTCTGTTAAAGCATAAGAAGGATGAAAAGTTTGTTGAACGTGAATGTTAATTCAAAACAGAGTCAATCACAATAGCACAAATTTGAGAGCTACAGTGAAGTTGATTTCCCCATTCAATAATGGTTTCTTCCATTAATTTCGTAACACCATTAGAAAGGAAGACTGTGTCATTTCCGAAATACAATGTAAAATATTTCGGTTCTTGACAATGACTTGCACATTTTATTGTGTAAGATATTGCACAAAGAAATGAAAGTGAACAAAAAATGTTGTTTTTTTCCACAAAAATTAGTTGATTAAGATTAAAGTTTAATTTACAGTACGGATATTACTTTTTGTATCCTTCCGGTTTGCAGTAAAAATCATATCTACACCGCTCCTACTGATGAACGAATTATGCCATAATATTTCATTCTTAGATCAATCATACGATTCAAATCATTAAATAATGCATACCAACTGGGACATACGGTTATCGTATCTCCCAGATACCAACCAGTCCATAAAAAAACATTGCCTGAGAGTACATCACCTGTATTAATCTGACCTCGAGTTTGAGATTATAAATTATACTAAACCAGAAGTACATGACGAAACGTTAGCCAATCAAGAAAATTGAGAAATTTTGTAACATAAACTCGTATTTCATATCATTGAAGTAAAGATGAATACAATTACTTGTGTGCTTCGTTGAAACAGGTGTTTTATTAACTATTTGTGAAGTATTAAGGCATGACATTCAGTATTTATGTAAATATCACCTCCCGATGTCCCGTGTTATGATTTATAAAATTATACATGTACATGTTGACCTCGATAAATGTAAGTGAAAATGGAACAATAATTATGGTGCTAGTAATACTTAATTATCTTTATCATACTGTTAACTAAGCAAGAAAATTACGTAATTTTAAAATAACTTAACCTCACAATAATCAATTTAAGCTTGAAAATCTTCTCAAAATGACTTCCCAAACAGTAATTTTTGAATTCATTTTTGAAACATGAAAATGGTTCATGTAGAGAAATAAGAGAAGAAAAAACTGAATTGACTCATGAAAATTTTGCTCAAACAGTCTGCCACGTGGAAATCTGACCTTCCTGAGATCCCCGCTGTTTGTTGTTGTTGTTGTTTTTTTTTTTTAGAAAGGGTGTTCTAATATAAACCACAGATGCTTGGGCCAACATGATACCCCTGAGTTATCACTATCAAAAAATATTTTAATATTTAAACACTAATGGGATATCTGTTACAACTATAATACTGGTTTTCGAAAAAAAGTTACATATATGAAAAAAAATACTGTTTACCATCATGTACTGAGACTTGATTCCGGGCAGGCAGGTGAATTGGTTGGGCCATTTTTCGTAACAGTTTTCTCAGCAACTACTTATTACAGGGTTCCCACGGTGTCCGGGAAAACGGGAAATGTCCGTGAATTTGAAAACAGGAGCTCCCAGCCTTGAAAAGTCTGGGAATTAGTGTTGATACATAAAAAAAGTCCGGGAAGGTACGGGAAATAGTCTGGAAAAGGGGAGGTAAATAAAACAACCAAAATGGCGGTCTTAGCACAGTATATTGACTTCCGCATCTTGAATGTTGATGATTTTTTGATTTACAAGTGTTTTGGGAGGACAAGTTTGACATTTATGAGATTTAAAATTTGGTTTCTGGTTACTATAGCGGTTTTGTTTGGAAAATCTAATAAGACTGTCACAAATCGACCTCAAGTTTGCTTGATTGGCCCGTGCTAAGA